ATTTAATTTTTATTGCACCATTTAATACTCTTCTATATTAAAACAAAGCTAAGCCATGAGTCAGTAATGAATATAACCAGAAATGGAACCAAAAATAGCCTAGCCAGTATTTTTAAAACACACACAAGGAAGAAAGCTACCCAGAGCTAGTTCACAGCCTGAGACAGCAGTACATCCGTCACAGTCTGCATTTAAACCACTACTGCCGGAAGTATGGAAGTCAAGCATGTTTACAAAGCTGCACAGCATTCTGACTGGATAATTTTATGTCTGCTGAGATAAAAGGCTTTAAATGTGATTAATTTCATGTCTTTTAAAAATTCTATTCTCTGACAACTAATTTTATTTTATAAAGACTGTGTACAGTGGATTGGATTTAAATGGCTTTTTATCATTTTATCATTCATGGTTTGAAGAACATGAATTTAACCTCTTCTTTTCTCATTTAAAAACAAACCTGTAAGATGCAGGTGGCTCATGCCTATAATCCTAGCTACCTGGGAGACTGAGATCTGGAGAAACCTGGGCAAATACTACAGGACCCCCTCTTCAAGAAGTAACTACAGCACAATGGACTGGAGGTGTGGCTCAAGTGGTAGAGTACCTGCCTCGCAAACATGAAGCTCTGAATTCGAGCCTCAGTGTCACCAACCTAGATAAACAATACAGATAATAGACATACAGACAGAAAGAATAAAACAAAATAAAAACCACCACCTTTGAAGCTGAATTTGAAGTCCCATATGACTTTAAAAAAACAATTAATTAGATTTAACACATGGGCACTGTCAAGTATGTCAAAGGCTCTAAGGTTTAAGAGACTGTATTTGTTTTAAATGCAAAATAGAATGAAGATCAGAGGACTGCTAGGAGAAATCATTGTGAATGAATTGTTCTTAACACAAAGTAATGATAAAGGTCTGAGGTGACTATATGGCAAAACCCTTACCTGCTCATTACAAACTATATATGTGCATTAAATGTTACACTGTACCATAAATATGTAAAATTATGTCAGTTAAAAATAAAAATATATTAATAAAAGACCAGAGGATTTGAAAAACACTAATTTTTATCTTATTACAAGGAAGAACTATCTAAGCAAAGTTATCATTTATGGCTTCTGGTCACTTCCCTCCTTCTGCCATTTCTTCCACTACTGTCAACTTATCTTTTTAAAATAATTAATACATTAGAATATTTTTTAAAAACTGTTTTAGGATGAGAATAAAAAATCTTTTGATACAGCATTCAAGGCCTTAGACATAGCCCTTGTCTCCAATGTCAACACTACTTCTCCCACTGTACCCCAAACCCTCCACTGAAATAGGCCCAAACATCCATGCCAAAATATTCCCCACTTAATCCTGTTTCTGATGTTTAGAAAGGACCACTGGTTTGCATGGTAAATTCTTTCTCCAGTTTCCATACAACTTTCAGGCTACAGAGGAAGTCGCCACTCGTGGCTCTCTGCAGCATGGCACAGCCTCTGCTATAGCATGTGCCACACCGTGACTTCATCCACTGCCAAATGGAGGCACAGTTTTTCTCAACTAAAGATTCTCCCTGACGGTCAAGTCTTAGCCTGGCCCAAGGCATAATTACACAAAATTAACTTCTCTCCTATGCAACTATAACAGTACTCTTGATGAATCATTTCTATTTTCTGTAGTTCAGATGAGGAATCCTAGAGCTAAGAAAGTTTATAAGCCAACAGAAAAATCACAGCATGTTCCCTCTTAAAATATTTTAAATAGTAACTTAGGCCCAGCCAAAAGTTATTACAACTATGATGCATCTCAAGAACAATTATAAAAATAGCATTTGAATTCTTTTTGAAAAATTAATTCTACCCATTTCTTAGAAACAGGTTCAACAGGAATATAAGAATCACAGTACAATCACTAGCTAGTGAACTTACAGAACAATGACTTTTACACAGACACATACATAAATACTTAGAGAATAGCTGCTCTAACAATGACTAACAGATGTTCAATCACCTATATAACATAAAAAAGTTCAACTGTGCTGGTCAAACTGGAGAAATTAGGACTCTTATATACTGCTAACAGAAAAGAATAACTCCCAGAAAGTTGTCACTAGTGAGTAAAATTACATACTGAAACATCACTAGCAACAACACATAACGACACAAATAAAAGAAAAGCAATACAGCATCATTCTATGTGAAACAGAAGACGAGACGCAACTTAAATGCTCACTAAAATGAGACTGCTTTGAGTAATGTGGGAATACCATGAAGTTACTAAAAGGAATAAACACTGTCTATATACAGTTACTCCTGTTCAATGATACTGATAACATACTTTTAAGTTAAAAAGTTAATAAAGGTATAGAAAAATCCTGAGTATAAAACAACCTATGAGAGGAGAAAACACAAAAACATACACACAATGCACATCCAATTGTTACATAACTGTTAGTGTTTAAACAGAAATGGAAGGATAAACTAAAGACTAAAATTTAAAAACCTACTCAAATGACAAGGGAAAGAATAGGTAAAGTGATCAGAGATAAAAGACGAATGTCTAAAAATTCCCGACTTTGGACAGATTTGATTTTGGAGCTCTGTAAATATTTTAACATTAAAAACAGGAAAATATGTTAAGCAATTTCAAAAAGCAGTAAACTTTTAGCACAGTAAATGAACTTACCTATAGATACATATGATGTTGTAACAATTATACACAGAAAAATTATTCTGTTTTAAAGGTAGTAATTTGCCTCTCTAGTGACTTAAAAACAGTAAGAACTGGGGGGTAAAATTGTTTTTGCTAACTATATTGCTGGTGGTAGTGTCTGCTGTTATTCTGAAACTGTTTTGTATATACTGAATAAAGCAAATGAATTACTGGTCTTCAATAGGAACCAATCGGAATTTTCAGTGGAAAACAAAACAAAAGACACATACATACACAAGATCAACTAAATAAAGACACAGTAGTCCTAGATTTGAATAATAAAGCTGTGACAATTTGCGTGCACAATTTCATTGGTCTGTCCTGAAAAGGTTTACCAATTATGAGTATCAACAGAGCCCAGACTGACTGCAGTCTCTATGCTACTTCTCTCTAAAAGTAAACAATTCCTTAAAAAACTGACTAGATCAAAACTGGGAAGGAAATTTTACAAGATGAATCTGGACTCTTCTACTCCATTAGAAAGTAAAGTTATTTTTTTTTCGTCTCGATCTCATTGATATCAGCCTTGATCTTTATTATATAATTTCTGTCCATCTGCTAGCTTAGCGTTTGATTGGCTCATTTTTCTAGAAGCTTAACATGCATCGATAGATGTTTATTTGAGAAGTCTCTGTTTTGTTTGTTTGTTTTTTAAATGTAGGTAGTTATACCTATAAACTTTCCCCTTAGCACAGTCTTTCCTGTGTCCCACAGATTTTGGTAGGATAGAGAAATGACAGCATCTTCAATAAATGTTGCTAGGAAAACTGGATATCCACATGTAGAAGACTGAAATTAGATCCCTGCCTCTCACCCTCAAAAGTGGATCAAAGACCTTAATATAAGGCCTGAAACTTTGAAATAACTACAGGAAGTAGAGGGAAATACACTGGAACAGATAAGCATAAGGAACGACTTCCTAAGTAGAACTCAAAAGGCTCAGCATCTAAGAGAAAGAATGAACAAATGGGACTGCATCAAACTAAAAAGCTTCTGCACAGCAAAGGAAACAGTCACTAGACTCAAGAGACTGCCCACAGAATGGGAGAAAAAATTTGCCAGCTATTCATCTGATAAGGGACTAATACCGAGAATCTACAGGGAACTCAAAAAACTCAACCCCCAAACAATCAAATCCCAATGAAGAAATGTGCACAAGAATTAAACAGGGAATTCTCAAAGGAACAGATACAAATGGCCAGTAAACACACGAAGAAGTGTTCAACTTCCCTAGCTACAAAAAGAGATGCAAATCCAAACTATACTAAGATTTCATCTCACCCCAGTTAGAATGGTCATATTCAACAGCAGTAACAATAACAAATGCTGGACAGGATGCAGTGAAACATAAACCCTGATACACTGTTAGTGGGAATGCAAATTAGTATAACCATTATGGAAAGCAGTATGGAGAGTCCTCAAAAACCTAAAGACATATAATCATCCCTGGGCATATACTCAAAGGAATGTCAGTCAGGATACAACAGAGACACCAATGGTCATCAAAGCACTATTCACAACAGCCAAACTATGGAAACAACCCAGATGTGCTACAGCTGATGAATGGATCAGGAAAATGTGGCTTAAAGACACAATCGAGTTTTACTCAACCATAAGGAATAATAACATGTGGTAAATGGATGCAACTGGAGGACACATTTTAACACATTTCTATGGTCCTCTAACTTGTCCCAATAATGTGACATATATCCAGTGCTTCATTTAGCCTATTTCATTTGGGGGCCCAACTCTGCAATCTCAAGTTGCTTGGGAAGCTAACGGAGGATTGCACAAGGTCAACCTAGGCAACTTAATGAGACGCTATCACAAAATGTTTTTAATAAGGGCTGGGAATGTAAGATCATGTCTCAATTTTTTTTGTAATATAAAAAAGGGTTAGGGATGTTAAGTCAGTGGTAGAATGCTTGCCTAGGATGATTAAGGCTCTGGGTTCTATCCTCAAAACGGCAAAAACAAACAAAAAAAAGAAAACATTTTAGATTTTTTTGAGCTTTTAGTTACATACTTTTATAGCTGAAACATAAGACTATTAATTTGAAAATGGCTATTTCCCAAGTGTAAATACAAAGTTAACATGCTAGAGTAACTGATACTTTAGTTTCTAAATGAAAAATGAATTAATTTCTAAACTAACAAGGGAAAAATGTCTGAAAGTTTCTGACATGGAATATGATGACGTTTAATGCCTAAAAGATTGTGAACTTTATTACTAGAATGCTAAACTTTAAGTGAATTATTCTCATGAGGAGCTGCCCAACAGTTTCAAGGACTTACCTTCTTTTTATCCCTCATTGAGCCTTTGCCTCGGACCATTATTTTACATCCTGTTTCTGCTTCAAGCTGTTTAGCTGTAAGTCCTCTCGGTCCAAGGATTCTCCCAACAAAATTAAACTGAGGGGGGAAAAAGGTCACATAGATTATTTACTTGCTAAGATTCATAGCTCTTAAAATTATTTTAAAGCAACATTTTTCTTACCAAAGTTAAAAAAATTAATATTAAATAGAAGTAAAAATCTAGAAAGCTTATGAGTTTCTTGCTAAATCTGGGGTATAAGTATTATTTAACTCATTGTTTTATACTTATTATGTATTAATACAAGCTATGAGTTAGGAATAGTATCCAGCAAAACAGGTACTACCTATCATGAGTTACCCATTGATATATAATCTAAAATGTAAAATATTAGATACCAACACTTTCTACAAAATTCCTATCTTCCAAATGACATGAAGGAATTGTTCACATTGTTAGACTATCCTTTTTACAGAAATCCTTGGGAAAGAGTCCCTTTCTATTTTCCTAGTAAGTTACTCTCCCCAGAGAAAATTCTGTCAATGACAATTCTGAGTTAGCTGCTAGAACAGTAATGGTCAAATTTGGATTTCATCCTATGCTAACATCTTGAGAATACTGTGTTTTTAAAAAAATCACCTTTCTGGAACAATTTTATGCCTGCATCTTTACCTTTTTCCCATTTCTACCTTTACCTTACACTTCTATTTTTTCAAGAAGCCTAAAGTAAATTCATGAATACAGTAAGTTAATTGTATAAACAAAAATTTACCATCCCTCAGCAGAAACTTCCAGTATTCGTATTTTAAAAACATTTTAAAGGCCGGGAGAAAGAACAGACTGGCTGTGAACACTGAAAAGTATGTTTTCCTCGTTCGCATGTCATCGCATGTTTATCTTTAGTTCTTCAAAACCCATGGGTGACTTTCACCTATTTACTGACTCCATTAAGTACCGATTGTTATGCACACAGCTTTCTATCTCTTGCCGTTTTACCCTACCTTTAGTGAATCATTACATACTTTTGTCAAAATAACAGGCCAGAAATCTCACTGAAACTTGGACTTGAGGAAGCTCCATACTCTCCCAACCTTCTGTACACCAGGGGCTCTTACTCTGCCTCACAAAGGGGCTCACTCACACTGCCATACATTAGAAAAGTGATTCTCAAATGAAAGGTGGGTAGCACACATGTACCCTTTGATTAACGCCTCTTACCCCTGCCCCCACAGGCAATCTATATAAAACTTCTTTAACTGCAATTTTTTATCTGTAAGTACTATGTGCTGGAACTATAGTGATCACTATGCTTATAACAATGGATGTATGTAAGATCCAGTACAAGATCTGGCACATGACAGACAATAGCCTCTCAATTCCATTACACATTTGCTTTATGAAATCTCAGTCGTTCTTCTTAACCAACAATTCAGTTTAGAATGTCAAAAAAGGGATATGATCAATAGCAAATTTGACCTACAGAACTCAGGAAGGCCTTGACACTAAGAAAAGCGTAAGAACATATCATTTGCAAGTAGGAGTAATTTGACTTCTTCCTTCCCTATTTGAATCTTTTTTATTTCTTTCTCCTGTCTTATTGCTCTGACTAGGAATTCCAGCACTATATTAATTAAGAGTGAGGAGCGTGGACACCCCCGTTTCGATCCTGATTTTAGAGGAAATGATTTTTTTTCCCCAGAATATGATGCTGATTCTGGTTTGTCATGTATAGTCTTTATAGTGTTCAGGTATGCTCCTTCTATTCTTAGTTTCTTCAGAGCTTTTATCATGAAAGGTTGTTGAATTATCTCAAAGGCTTTTTCTGCACCTATACAGATGGTGATTTTTGCCCTTGATTAGGTTCATGTTTTGTACTCACTTTTAATTTGTGTGTTATACCATTCTTGCATCCTTTGAATGAAACCTACTTCCTCATGGTGCAGGATCTTTTTAATGTATTGTTGGATTTGGTAGCAAATATTTTATTGAGAATTTTTATGTCTATGTTCATCAAGGATATTGGCCTACAACTTTGTTTGATCAGTCTTTACCTGGTTTTGGTAGTGAGATAATACTGGCTCCATAGAATGAGTTTGGTAATATTCCTTCCCTTTGCATTTTATGGACCAGTTTGAGAAGCACTGATGTTAGCTCTTCTTTAAAGGTCTGGTAGAATTCAGCAGTGAATCCATCCAGGCCTGGGCTTTTCTGTGTTTGGAGGTTCTTTATAACTGTCTATTCAAGTTGTTTATGTGCTCTTGATTCATTTTGGTGGGTCACATGTATCAAGAAATTTATCTAGTACTTCTTAATTTTCCAGTTTGCTGGAGAATAGGTTTTCAAAATATTCCCGTAAGATCCTGTGAGTATCATTGGTGCCTACTGTAATATCCCTTTTTAACTCTGATTTTATTAATTTGGGTCTTCCTTTGCTTAATTTAGCTAACCTTTTATGTATCTTTTTTTTTTTTTTCAAAGAACCAACTTTTTGTTTCATTTTTCTTGTATCGTTCTTTTGGTCTCCATTAATTTCTGCCCTAATTTTTATAATTCCTTTCAATCTACTACTTTTGGACTGGCTTCTCCTTGTTTTTCTAAGAGTTTTAGGTACATCATCATCAGAGTCTTTATCTGATACCGCTCTAATTTTCTGATGCAATAGGACTCTATGGGTATAAAGTTTCCTCTTTTGTAAGAAGTTCCACTTTTGGTGTGTAACTACTGGTTGTGGTTAATTGTGTCATTTTTATTGGAATCTAGAAATTTCTTCATTTCTTTCTAATTAATCCCATGACACATGGATCGTTCTAGAGTATGTTGTTCAATCTCCATGAGTTTGAATTACTTTTGTAGTTTTCCTTGCCATTGATTTCTACTTTTATTCCATAATGGTCTGTTATTACACAGGGGATTATTTCCATTTTTATAATCTTATACCCAAAAGCCCCTAAAAATGCCACCAAAAAACACTTATATCTCATGAATCAGTAGCATTTCTATACACTACCAATGAATATGCAGAATGAAATCAGGAAACCAATTCCATTTGTAATAGCATCAAATAAATAAACAGATAAATAGATGAATAAATAAAATACCTAGAAATAAATTTAAAGAAGGAAGTGAACGACCTATACAATAAAAACTATAAATTGCTGAAGAAAGAAATCAAAGAAGAATTTAGATGATGGAAGGACATCCAATCCTCATGGATCAGCATGATCAATATTATCAAAATGACTGCACTACTGATCAAAATGATGCAGCATGATCAAAATGACTGCACTACTGAAAGCAATCTATATGTTCAATGCAATCTCCATCAAAATTCCAATGACATTCTTTAGAGAGTAGAAAAACCAATCTTACAATTCATATGGAAACATAAAAGACCTTGAATAGTCAAAGCAATCCTGAGCAAAAGGAGCAACATGGAAAGTATCACAATACCTGACTTCAAACTATACTTCAGAGCCAAAGTAAAAAAAAAAACAGCGTGGTACTGGTGCAAAATAGACATGAAGATCAATGGTACAGAACACCCATACACCAAACCCAAGGAGATACAGTCATTTGCTATTTTTAAAAGGAGCCCAAAGCATACATTGAAGAAAAGACAGACTCTTCAACAAATGCTGCTGAGAAAACTAGATATTCACCTATAGAACACTGAAGCTAGATCCCAGTCTCTGACCTTGTACGTGTATCAATTCAAAGTAGATTTTTTTAAAAAGTGGATCAATTATCTTAATGTAAGATCTGAAACTGTGAAACTACTACAGGAAAGAACAGGGAAAACACTGTAATATATAGGCATAGACAGTAACATTAAGATTACAACTCCAATAGCTCAGGAATTAAGAAAAAGGACTAGCAAATGGAACTGCATCAAACTAAAACGCTTCTGCATTGCAAACAAGTCACTGGACTGAAGAACAAGCCTATGCAATGAGAGAAAAATCTTTGCCAGCCCCACATGACAAGGGATTAATAAGCAGAATATATACAGGGAGCTCAAAAATCTAACCTCTCAAAGAATCAACACTCCTCTGAATGAATGGGCAAATGGACTGAACAGACAATTCACAAAAGAAGTACAACAGACCAATATATACATAAAGAAATGCTCAACATCTTCGACCATAAAGGAAATGCAAATCAAAACAACACTGAAGTTTCACCTCACTCTAGTCAGAATGGCTACCATCAAGAACACAACAAATGCTGGCGAGAATGTGGGGAAAGGGAACCCTTATCCACTGTTGGTGGGAATGTAAATTAGTGCAACTGCTATGGAAAGCAGTATAAAGGTTCCTGAAAAAACTAAAATTAACCCTACTGGCTGATCCAGTGATACCATTCCAGGGCATATACCCAAAGGAATGTAAGCCAGGATACGACAGAGCCACTTGCACACCCGTATTTATTGTAGCAGCATTCACAATAGTCAAGGTATTATGAAACAAATTATGGAAACGGCCAGGTAAGACTGACAAATGGATTAAGAAAATTTGTTATGTATACACAACAGAGTATTGCTCAGCCATAAAGAAGGATGAAATTATGTTGTTTGGAAATAAATGGATGGAACCGGAGATCAAAATGTTACACGAAGTCAAGCTCAGAAGAACAAAGGTCACATGTTTTCCCTCATATGCAAAAACTAGACCTAAAAGATGAATGTATACATAAATACACGTAAGATCTTATATGCATATACATGCATACATATATGGAGAGAGAATATATGTAATAATGGGTCTGTATGAGGGAACTACGGGGAGGCAGGAGGAAAAGAGAATTATCGTGAATGATACTGAAATCTGTTAATATTTGTGTATGAAGATAGTATTAAAAAATCCACTGAAAGCTACTGAATAATAGGGGAGCAGGGCAATAGAGAACAAGTAATGGAGGGAGTTAATCTGATTAAAGTACAATATATACATGTGCAAAATGTGCAAAAAATTCTCTTGAACAATCAGTATATACTTTAAAAAAAATGAAGAACAGGAAGGTAAAAAAAGGTTCTTTCCCGGAAAGGAAACCAGTGGGAGGGGGACAATAAATGCAAAGAGTGAATATGGCTGATGTACTT